ATTAAATGTTATTTCTGTATTTATATGTGTTATTGCACGAACTATAATCCGTATACATACTCTTTATTCTTTATCTTTCATTCCTTTATACATATTCAATCCTTCGTAAACTTTTTTTCCTTATAAAAAAAAAATCATATGATAATAATTCGATAGCAAAAAAAAAAAAAAAAAAAATGGAAAGAAAGGATGGTTTATCGAGTGATGTACCACTGGTTGAATTTATAAATCCAAATGAAACAAATATAACTCAAAACAATCCCAGGCAACACCAAATTCATAATCCACGGAATATTTCTTTACCCACATCATCCTCAATAACGTCACATGATGACGACATTTTCTCTCGTGATCACGGAGACCAGCAAGCGAATACTATGCCTTCGTTTCTTAGTAGAAGAGTAACAACTGGATCTGATGATAATGAAGAGAATTATGTCGAAATGTCTGATCTTACCAAATCTTTAAGTTTAACCAGTGAGTTTGCATTCGACAACATTGATGATAGTGATACGGCCAAACTAACTAAAAATCGGGTGGATTACACATTAGAAAAGAAAAATACCCAAATATCTTTTGACAACCAAGATGAAGATGATTCTCATGACCCCCGTCTGCTCAGTCGCATGCCTTCGTTCAAAAAGTTTAGAAGGTTAAGTAAGATGGTCACTAGGGCTTCGTCTCGTGTTGTTAACTTGGCAAATGTTCCACTTGATCAACTTTCAAAAGAAGGTGACCTGTCGGATGACAAGATATTTTCGGATATTCAGCAAAGAAATTCTACTTCATCAGAGGCAGCATTGAACAACCAATCTTTAGAAACTCCTTCAACCATCTCAAAAGGTAAATCGGTATTAGAAGGTCGATCCTTATTTATATTTGGTCCAAATAATCCTCTGAGAATTTTCTTTTATGAAATTTTGAGTAATCCGTAAGTTTCAATTTCATTCAATTTATTATTTATAAATATATAATATATGATAATTCTTTTAATCTTACAATATTTAAAAAATACTTGAAAATACATTAGAGCTACTGAAACATTC